CCCCCGCGCCGCGCGGGCCAATCCGAGGCGCCGAAGGTCGCGGCCGCGCCTCATATTCATGAGCAGGGGGCCGGGCCTGTCACTGCCCCGCCCTCTCCCGCGCGCCGGCGCGGGACGCGCAGTTCGGTGGGGACGTGCACTGACCGCAGTCCTCCGCCCTGGAGCGTGCGGTGGGGGTCACAGCTGACCTGTTTGCACGCGCCGGCCCCCTCCCAGCCCCCTCTGCATGCTGCTGGGAACAAAGGGGTCCCCCGCAGCTGCTGGGGGCGGGTGGCCTGAGCCCCTTGAGAGTCGTTGCAACCCTGACCTGTTTTGGGCTGCTGCAGTCACCATCATAGGGAATCAGTCCCTCCCACCCAGAGTCAGCACTCAGACACCCCAACTTCATCTGAACTTGGACATCATCCCTGACACTCTTGTCATTTCCCATGTTCTTCCAGCCTCAGGGATAACCACTCACTTCTTTGGTCCCAGAATCCAGGCAATACTGATAATCTCATTGACTGATAATCTTATTGATGTGAAGCTTCATATTCACCACAGACCAATTTTTTTCTACTCCCCGACTTCGGGGCTCCAACTTCATCAACCCAGTTTACCTACAAATCCCAGCTGGCACCTACACCTAATCTGAGCCTCAACCCTGACTTCTGCTGCTATTGAAGGACTGAAACCACAACACTGATCAGGCCAGACACTTCTGTACACCCCAGTTCTAGGCTGGGCTGACACTCACCTAGGCTCTTACTGGGGTATCTCCACTGCACCCAATATTCAGCTCAGCCCTGGGCTTTCTTTCTCATGCTCCAACTCTCCACCCCCAACCCTGTCAGGACAGTTCTGCACACCCAGAATTCACTCATTGCACAGGGGAACTCCAACATCTCTTCTCTAAAAAGTACATGCCGGGTATCCCTGGTAGTTTAAGTGTTCAAATCTCAGCACTGTCAAGCTATTGCCAGCTATTGCTTCCCTGCTGTACCCCTCAGCAGTATATTTCAGCAGATTTGCCTTTTCTGCTCTCCACTCTGTCTCTGGTGAATCCTTTCACACCCCAACCTCTGGCCTACACCTCAGTTCTTGTATGCATAAATAAAATAAGGGAGGAGGGTTGGGGAGTGAGAGGATTCAGCAGAGACAGAGTGGGGGGCAGAACAGGCCGATCATCAAATTACAGTCCTAAGAGGAGCAGTAGGTGCCACAGGAGAGGTCTGCCGGGCCTTGTGGATCTCCTCCGGGGCAGGGATTGAACTTACACCAAACTGCCAAATGGTCCGGCCAGCTTCGCTGTGTTGCACTTTAATCTGCTGCGCCACCGGGGAAGGCCCCTAGAAAGGCTTTAAATGCAGGAAGATCTTTCCCAGAACTGCGGGGATTTGGAACAGACTACCCCTTGGCTTTCCTTCCCAGAGAAGGTTTGGCCCTCTCCAGACTTCAGGCTTGCACAGGTGGGCCTAGCTAAAGGCAATATGACACAAGGGGCAAGAGGCGAGGACAGTTTCCTGCTACAGGGACCCTGACCTCAGGGACCCCCTTCCCGAGCAGCAGCCCATGCAAGACTCAAGGCCCCATAGGCACCTGAGGCTTCGGGATGGGCTTGGAGGGGTGGGGGCAACTCCCTATGAGCAGCAGGCTGTTGCCTCAGCCACTCCGGCAGGGTGGTTTCTGAAACAGGGAGACATGAGCCCCGGAAACAATGTGTGCCCCTTCTGCTGGCTGAGGGTCTAGGCCCTGCCTGCCGGGCGGTGGAGACTCTGGCCCACACTTCCTGTTCAGATTCTCAGCCAAATCAGGTGGTGGACTCCTGGCCCCAGACCGTCCAGTGAGTCCCTGCAACTGCAGTGGCTCAACCATTCTTTGCTCCCTGGCCCGCCCCCACCCCCTAAATTTCTTCTCTAGTTCTGAGTCTGTCTTGTCCTGATGTGGGGTATGCCCTTCCACCTGCACGCCGGGATGGAGTGCTTGAGTTGGTTCCTGGAGACTGGGTCATGTGTACTCCCGTCTGTCCTTAGTGCCCACCAGTGGCTGAACCCAGACCTGTGGAGGGCTGTCATCAGGTGTGCCTGTATCAGACAGTGCGTGGGAAGTGTGCCCCGGCCCCGGATGCGCCTGTCTCCCAGCTGCGTTTTTGCGGTCTCCTGCTTTGCGCGGCCCGGTGACCCGGCGTGGCGCCCCAGCGAGTCCCCGCGAAGGCCTCGGCGGGGCTGGCCAACTTTCCCCAGCCGCGGCCTCTGCGCCACGCG